CGTTTTTTTTTTTTTTTTGGCCATACAATGAAAGTCAATGGGGTTAATTGTTGTTTGGACACCAGCATTCCTCAAAATATATTTTTGAACTATCACTTTAAGCTTTGTACATCATAATTTTTTTCCTCTGCAAGACTACTTTGCTTTTTACCTTTTATCCTCCTTGTTTGCTGTCCATCAGGTTCTGATCTGATTTGTCATGTTGTGACTGAAGTGAATAAGAGAGACAAAGGTTGAGTCTTAAACCTGATCTAAACACATATCATTGAAAATAAGCAAATATCATGTATTCAATAATGTTGGCTTTTTTAAAAAAAGATGGTCCAGAGCCACTGGCAGATGTCACATATTCAGAGGTTACTGTCAAGAAAAACAAGAAAAAGATGGACAAAGGTAAACATAATAAACCCTCTTCACTTCACCTGTACAGTATAATCGTTGTCAGTACATTAATACATTGCTAAGTAATGAATTATTATTGTTTCTAATAATTAATTATTATTAATAATTGTTTTTCCAGATGATAGCATGGCAGAGCCAAATAATGTGACATACTCAGAAGTCAGAAAAAAAGTGAAGAAATCCAAAAGCAAAGGTGAGATCCTGTTTTTTATTTATTTTATTACAATATTTCCAGTATGTTCTGAGTAATCAGACTGACCTTCTGTTCTGTATTATATATTAATACTGCAGGACCCAGTGATCTGGTTTATGCACAGATTGATTTACAGGACAAAAAGAAAACCAAAGGCAAGGGTAAACACACAGCAAACTGCATCTAAACACAATGATTCATCACATTTAACTCTGATATAATAATTGTATAATATCAAATCATTTACAATTTTAAAAATAACTGATAGAGCAAATTCATACAACTTAATTTCAATAATGTAACACAAAAATCACATCTGCCTGTTTTTACTGAAATTGAGACTGATCATTTCAAACTTAAATCAGAGATGATAAAACAGGCCAGACTATAAAAAGTCTGATAACAAAACTGTTGTTTTTCATGATAGGGGCTGGACTTCGTGATTTTCTCATTGAAATTAAATCAAAGGACAAACAAAGAGGTAAATAAAGAGATGATCTGAATTGTCGTCATATGTAAAATAATCAACACATTTTAACAGAACCTGCTGATGAAACAAACAAAAAAAAAAGTTCTTAATCACAATTCTGTTTGCTGGAAATATTAACACTTTTTAATCAATATAGGCCACTCTTCTGTGGTTTCTTTGTGGTTTGAACCATCGGCCCTTCCTCATATGATCAGTTATTAGGGGATGAAAGTAACACTTTTTTTGTTTGAGCATCAGTAACTCTGGTTGTTTGTGCTAGATCTCTCAAATTTTGATATATGGTAGCCACATTTGTCTACTACAAATAAAACTCACTTGGACGTGTACTGCATAAACACAGCTTATGTGAGTTAATGTCAAATACAAAGAGTTCCGTTGTTACAATCTTCCCCACTACTGGGGTGAGTTGTAACACAGGCTGGGGATAGATGTAACAGTGTGAAGTAATTTGCTGAAATAAGACCCACACTTCCAATTTATGCAAAAACTTTATTGAAGAACAAAGAATAATCAGTTTTGAATAAAGTGAACCATTTAAAGTGACAAAAACATGATATTGTACTTAGGACTTTAAATTTAGCACAAAAACAATTGTTGTGTGTGTGTACTGTATTCAGTCACTAGCTGTGTTGCCGTCTACCTATTGTTATGTGAATTTTGGAATATCACAAAAAATACTGGATGGAAATGTTAAGATGCACATAAATTCTAAACATGTGCACAAAAAAAATGTATGTGCTAATTTGGAGCGGATAGTGTTTTTATCCAATAAGAAGATATGCGCATAAACAATGATGGAAACACATTTTACATAAATCCCTTGATGTGCAACAAAAACCTCACATGACTTTGCCTCAATAGAGGAAGTGGTTGGATAACTGGACTCATTGGAATCATCATAAGGAGTTGGTTGTTATATTTTTAATGAACTGTTACAACTATCCCCACCCCAAACAGCCATAGCATAGCTACCTGTTTTAGTATGTGGGTTTTAAGTTAGCATGGATGCAAAGTATCACATTAAACTAGAGAAACAGCTACTTTAGCTTATGTATTCTTAATGAAAAAAATTACTTAATTACTTAACTGAAAATCTTTTTTTTGGTCATAAAACCTACAATGTTGCTCACATTCACATGCCACTTCTCCTGTAACATTAAAATTGTGTCCATGTCATTTCCCCATAGTAAATAAAAACAAAATGACGTTGTTTACAACTATAGGGGGAATTTAATTTACACCGTGTACTCACAAATTATCCAAGGAATGACATAAACCGAAATAACAAGTGAAAAGGTTTCAAGTATGTATTTTGTGTGAACACATAATCGTTGTCATACAAATCTGAAAGCAAGCAGTTGCGGCAAGCAAGCCACCCATCTAAAGCAGATGCAGAAAAACGTCCGCAAAATAACCCGACTGTAAGTACATTCACATTATTAGTCTTAACTCTTAAATAATGCCTTTTATATTTCAAGTTTTTCCTACATTTTCCCGAGAAGGCTCCGGTGTAAAGGTATAAAGGAAGTACAGATACACTGCTTTGCGGGAAAGTGGAAGTTAGCTGACGTCACTGTGAAAAGGGCCTATAGCGCGCACCCAATACGCTTCTTCACAGCCTTTAAATAGTGCACCAAGCCATACACAATGCGTTACCGCCCCCTGCTGGTCAAATCTAAATATGCACATACAACACTCCTCCCTGCTTAAATCCAAAAAAAGTTTTTCTCCAATCAGCAAACTTGAGGGGAAAAACATTGCTCACATACAAAACAATTTTCAATAAAGTGCAATTTCTACATTTTGTAACTGTGTGCGGTTTTTTCTTTTTTTTCTTCAAAGTCCCACAATTTTTTTTTTCATCACAGTCCTTTAAGTGTGCTAGTAATTTTTACATCACAAAGTCCTTTAAGTGTAAGGGCAGTTTCCGTTCTCTTACTGAATGTCGTAGACCCGCAGTAAGTACAATTTCAGGGTTTTTTACTTCTGCAATTTATGTCACTTCAGGAATGGTAGGAGCACTAGATAACTCGGGCAACAGCCTACTGGAACATTCAGTTTGCAAATTTTCAAGCTCCTTTTGCTCAGGAGTAACACCCAAAGTTGGTATTATGGGAGTACTGGGTGATTTGGGCACTTGAACATCAGTATCCTGAGACCCAATATCAGCATCACATAACTGAACATCCATGCTCGGTTGGTAATCAGTTATAATTTATTTTTGTTGGCGACTAAATAATTGATCTACATGATGTCGCACTATTTGAGCATTCCCCAAAGCTACTGTATAAGATACAGGTCCTGCAATGTCCTGAATTACTCCATGCACCCATTTTGGTCGGGTATACACAGGATCTCCAATCTGGAAATAACGAGATTTCACATGTTGATCATGATACTCTTTCTGAACTTGTTGTTTCCTTTTCATTTTACCAGTGAAGTCAGGATGTATCTTGTCTAAAGTGCAACGCAATTTTTTTCCCATCAGCAATTCAGCAGGAGACAGTCCAGTTATAGACTGGGGTGTGATACGATAAATAAACAGAGCTCTATGTAACTTGGTC